GAAATCCCTGTTCCTCTTTCACATCTTTTCAGATCATTTGATGACAAATCATTGAGCCATCTACAGCAGCTGCAGCCCCTTTCCAGCATTTTCTACTAGCTGGTACCCCAGTGACTCAGCTTGAGCGTCTCTTCTCCTCCAAGACTTACTTCCCCTTTTTCCTCTCAAGGAATGAGGGTTTTAGTCTACCCTCTCTTTGTATACCACATTGCCCTCTGTGAGGGCAAAACAAAGTCAGGTTGCAGGGAACCTTCTTCACACCCAGACCAGCGAGTGGAGAAAGCACTGCCACTTTCACTGCAGCTTTTTTGGATGTGGCCTTTTCAACTTGCCTCCAACCAGGATGTGAACTAAGCTTGGACATATCTGCCTTAAATCTTTTGGAGCCCTGCAGCCAAAAGCTGTGAAGTTCAGATTTAGAAGTTTTTTCTGACAGAGAAGTAACAAACTGCCTGGAGAACGTACCTCTTCCTCTGCCCAGTGACAGCTTGCAGGTCCAGATGATGGAAACTTCCCCCGGCAGAAGGCAATGTAGTGACATTGGAGTGCGAGGCACCTCCTTCCTTCCCCTTCAGACATCACACCGAACACTAACGAGTACAGCATTGACAAAGTCAGTGCTGATTTTCTCCTCATTTTTGAGGGGGGAGAGAGGCAGAAGAGACCCACTTGACTCCATGTTTTGACAGAGAAAGGAAATGCCTTTAGAAAATAAGTTACCTGCAATCTTTTTTTGGACAAGTAAACAAATATATATTTAACTAGTTCTGATGCTTTAATTGTGCGTCATTGCACAATAATTCATACTTACATTTGAATGTGCACCATTAACTTAAGTTCCGTTTTACACCCAGAAATACATTCAATGACTTGGAGGAAAAGGGAAGAAAAATCAGTACAAACAAGGTGTGTCAGAAAGTGGTATAAAATAAGATTTATTTGCAAATCATTTTGACAATAAGGAAAAAAGTATCTCCGAGCTGTGCATTTTGGGGATTACACGTCAGTTCCTTCACCTTCCGAGATTTCCATTTGCATGCAATATGGGATACCTCTGGAATTCGAAAAGACATTTCAAGTGTCCTTTTTTGCCTTGCTGTGCTAAATAATTCCTTCCACAGGCACACTATAGGAGAGTCAAAGTCTTGTAACGAGAAGCTGTCACAGGAAATGCACAATGAAACAACCTTGGCTTAGAAAGAAAACTGGCACGTGAGAGCAGTTTCACATTTGTTTAACACAATGTTAAGCGCTTCAAGATTCCCACAAGGAGAAGTGCCTGGTGCTGTAAGTAAAAAAAAAAAAAAAACACACACCAAAAAAACCAAACCCACAAAAAACCCAAAACACCCCCCCCCCCAACCCAACAAACAAAAACACCTCCCCCCAAACCCCACAGCTATACTGAAACCTTGATTTCTTTCCTACGTAAGAATGCACAGTACATCTGGTTATGACCTGAGTTCCCTCTCTTGGAAGCTAAAGAGCTATGTCTCATGTAAAAAATAAAAGTTCAAGATTTAATAATAATTATTGTATATAAATGAACTCAGGACAAAGGCAATACAAAGTGAGAACTGATTTACCTTAACGCCTGATTGTGGGAGGGTAACCTCTGAATTATGGTTAGAGTCACAGCAGTTGAAGAGGAAGACAGCAGTACCTTCAGAACATTTCTTCAATTTATTTCCACCCTTCTCCCCAGCCTCACTCTTTCAAAAAGCCAGGAAATTTCAACTCTGAAGTCATATTTTGAATTAGATGAGATAGGAAGTGTATTCTGAAAACGCTGTATGATTAAGTTCTGAGCAGACCACATTAAGCGTATCTTGTTTTAGAGAAAAGTCCAAAGGGAACACCAGGAAACAAAGTGATTTCTTCTCTGAGTAGCTATTAAAGAATCTGAACTAGATCTATTTTCAATACAGTTCTAGAAAATATTTCTTTTTAAAACAAAGAGGGACTCTTTTTTTCTTCTTTATGAAGCTCAAAGTAATCCCAATATTTGACACTGGAAAAATAATTCCCCCCCCCCCCCATATGATAATGGAAGAAAAAATGTCTAGATGTCATTGTCACCAGTTCAAATAAGACATTAATGAATGCATTAGATCATTCAAATGTAAACAAACTTTATATATATAAAAATATGCCCGAAAATATTAAAATAACGTTATAAGGGTAATAACTACTATATTAGTGACAACCAGTTCATTTAAGTATTTAGGCAACAAAAACTGGAGAGAATAATAGCCTTAGAGACATTATTTTATTTTGGTCTACTTTAGAAAGACTAAAACAAGATCCAACTGAAAGCTCTTCATCATCAGTCCACACACTATCCCACCATGGCGGTCTCCCTACCCCTTCTGGGGAACCTAGTCCATCTTTATGGAATAAATATACTTGGTCATTTCACATCAACCATTATTGAAGTGATCCTGAGAGCAAGGCCCAGAATCTAGGAGTCTCTTCAAGCTGAATGCCCTAGCTGATATCAGACTGCCTCCTGAACAAGCTCAAAACTGAAAAAGCAAGGGATAAAGATTTCAGAACAAATCTTATGTTGGCAAACATTGCCCTCTTCAATCCCAACTCGGCCATCTTCAGAGAATGGTAAGAATTTACATTTACCTCCAGTGGTTATGCTCTCCCATTAGACAGCTCCAAGGCTTTACTCTACACCACAAATACAGGGATACACATGGCTTAGTCAAATGTAAATACTGTTGAGGTTTACTGACTTCCGATTTGGGCACCAGAGATGCACTGCAGCCATTAAGCTGTAGGTGCAAACATTCTGTATCGGCCCCTGGATTTCATGGTTTTAACAGTATTTTTGCAAGACAAAATTTGCCACATCTCATTTAGATTCCACATTTGGAAAATCCCTACCCTGAAAATCCACTATTTGCTGAGTAAGTATCATATTTACTGAGAACGTAAATTAGCTCTGAACATACCATCTTTAATGACAACACTTTAAAAAGACCCCATGCAGTCTTACAAGTTTTGTTCTCCCACATATCCAGGTCCGAAACCTAGAAATGCCCAGGGGTTTTTAGAAGTCTTGCAGAAGTGATCCAGTTTTCAAACATCATTAAAGGTTTTGGCAGAATAATGTTACGTGAAATCTGTAATACACCTGCTAAAGTTTATAATCCAATGATCAGTTATAAGAAGTATTATTGCATTTTAAGCATAAAAATATAGGAGGTTCTATAAAGAAAATTAAAATAGCATTAATCTAATATCGATATTCATATAAAATAACTCACAATTATGTAAGTTTCCATATTTAATTACACATTTAAAAATAAGTTATAAAAATAATTAACCTTCTTTAAAACCCCTAAGATATTTTCTCTTAGGAGTTTTTACTCATATCTACTGATTGTCTAGCATCAGCAACAGCTTCTGGTACTCGAACAGTCATATCATCCATCGATTTCTTCAAGCAGATTTGGCAGCCTAAACGTGATCTGTAGGAAAATATGACATTGTTGTTAGTTCTAGCCGATCATATATGTCTAACAGCATTTACCTCTTCATGCCTCCAACATTCAGCCACCCCAAACACATTATGATCCAGAAACAGCCACCCTTGCGCATGGTCTTAAGACCAGTAGTGAACTGCATGCATCAATGCAAAGATATAAGTGGCAATAATCATGATTTACGTTAAGGTCAGTACCTTGGAAAGTTGTACAGCGAGTACCTCCTACTTGCTGAGGCAACATGTAATAAGGGTGGCTCTTCCATTTTCAATGATTCACTAATAGTTCAATCAAGTGCAGGGAATGACACTTGATCTCCCAAGGGACATTTGGCATCTCTGAAGAGATGAAGGCAATGAATCTGAATGAAAGCCTCAGAGAAAGCATAGCCTAACCCATCCAGGGCCTGAAGACAGCCCAACGTTTTCAAACTGAACAACTCAAGATTGGGTCATTAAGCCAGAAAGGTAAGAGTGAAAAGACAAGAAACGCAGGAAGGAGAAGGGTAAAATAGTCATGGCACCTGAGGAGACGCAATCCTCCTCTTTTCTAAATATCTTTCAGCATGAAAAAAATCTTGTATGTGAACAATTAAAATCAAAAGATTTAATATCACCACAAAGTTCTGCAGACACCACAAGCCACTTTTATTGCTGGGATATCTTTAATTCAATGTCCATGCCTTGGTACTTAAGTATAGAATACTTAGACATCAGCAAGAATGGGCAACGTTCTGTAGCACCAGTTGAATAATTTAATCAGTATAGGAATGTAGGCAGAGATGATATTAAAAATGGTACTACATTAATATCTATACAGAACTCTTTCAAGCATGTAGTGATCAACTGTTGTTGAAAGCTCCCAATTCAGTACTATACCTGAAAGTAATACTTCTATGTAAATGACTGTATACATCCACTTCAAATGTATTTATACATACATTACCAGAAAATTTTATCTCATGAATATGCATCTGTAAGAATAGCTTTAGAAATGAAGTCTATTAGAGAGATGTGATTTCCGATATTTATATGCAGCATTGGCTGTAAGGCTTAATTTGACTGAAGTGTCTGTTCTTCACTGAAGACCAATGCTAATTGCGTATGTACTCTGCAGTATGGCAACAGATTCACTTCACATGAAATAACACTGCCCTTTGTTTTAAGTCTGCCACCAGCAGCACAAAAAAAAACTAGGCAGCACTAAATAACACTGTGAGAAACAACCAACCTTCTCCTATTCAAATTCTTCCACCGCATTTACAATTTTAAAGATATTTTACCAGATTCCCCCACCCCTGAAAGGTGAAGAAGTGTGGAACCCAAAAAAAGATGATTTAGTCAATCTCTGCATGAAAGCCATTCCACCTTTAACCACTTCTATAGGCCTTCCCTTTATTTCCTCTCATTCTACTACTTAAAAAAAGGAAAAACCCAACAAAACAGGAAGTCAGAGTTGCACAAGTGTAAAGATATGGTGAATCCCCATTTTGTCACATAATGGTATTTTCTGGTTTTCTACCTGTTCCTACCTAATGTTGCCAATGTTCTATTTACCTTTGAGGGTTTTGGGGGTTTTTTGTTTGTTTGATTTTAAAACCAAACTGTAAGCTGACATTCCTGGAAAGACACTAGCTAGCTGACAGCTTATTTCAAGTATGCAATGTTACCGCTGTTACCCACCTCTCCATATGCATTTATCTACACCTTTTAACACCAAATTTTGTTTCCTATCACTCAGTGGCACAAGATCCTTGCACGTCTTCGTTGGACAGTTTTCGATTTTACCACACTGAGCAACATAGCACTATACACAAACCCTTCAAGAAGAACGGGCGGAGAAGACGACCGGCCTGGCTGAACGGGGAGCTTTTGCTGGGACTCAGGAAAAAAAGGAGAGTTTATCGCTTGTGGAAGAAGGGGCAGGCGACTCAAGAAGAGTACAGGGATCTCGTTAGGTCGTGCAGAGAGGAAATGAGAAAGGCAAAAGCCCAGCTAGAACGCAACCTGGCCGCTGTCGTTAAAGACAACAAAAAAAGTTTTTACAAATACATTAATGACAAGAAGAGAGCCAAGGAGAATCTCCATCCTTTATTGGATGCGGGGGGGGAACATTGTCACCGAGGATGAGGAAAAGGCTGAGGTACTTAATGCCTTCTTTGCCTCAGTCTTTAGCAGTCAGACTAGTTATCCTCAGGGCACTCGGCGCCCTGAGCTGGAAAACAGGGATGGCGAGCAGGATGAACCCCCCATAATCCAAGAAGAAGCAGTCAACGACCTGCTACGCTACCTGGACGCTCACAAGTCTATGAGGCCAGATAGGATCCAGCCGAGAGTGCTGAGGGAGCTGGCGGAGGAGCT